TTATTTTTCCGTTAACATTCAACAGTATATGCACGTTAAAATGTATAGATCTTAATTATAATTATCTAGGTACGTGTGTTATCGTTGAAAGAAAATTAGAACCTGACGATTCTACTCTCCAGAGAGTAAATTTCAAGTTTCGTGTTTTTTTTTTTTTTTATTTAATCATTTAGCAGATATTCTAGATCCGATTTCATTATTTAATAATATTTGCTTTTCTGTGCTGGGACAAATATATTCAGACAATCATATTACAATTTTCATTTTTCAATATATCATGCCAGCCCTGCATATTCATATCGTTACGAATGCGACTTATGTGAGGATCGTGGACCTGACGAACATTTTTTACTCCATCGATGTGATACGTTTTTTAATATTATTGACGGACCGGTTTTCAAGTATATATATATTTTTTTTTCATATATTTTGATATGTTTATTGTTATGTAGCTAGAAGACTGTTGGAAAATATTTGAACTTTTGAATTATTTTATAATTTGTCACTTTTACATTTCAGTTAGTCGTTATCTTTGTGTGGACGAATCGGTAATTTGTAAGTCAATATGATTTGCAGCCTTTTCGATGCTAATAGTTCATATGTCACACTTACTGATAAGTGTTAGTGAATTGAGCAAGGACCTAAAGTAAGACCCCAACAAAAATGTCATTGAGTCGACTCATTTAACTCAACTGAATTTAAACGATCCAACCCACTCAAATGATTTGAAGTTTCCAACTCAAATGTTTACATCATGGACGAACGTTAAACTCAACCATTTGTTATTATAATAATTATGATCAATTCTCAAATGTATGTTATTTATATTTTTTATAGAGAACTCTAGATTTTATTCTGGTCCTGACACTTGTGTTCTTTCCAATCCCTTTACATATATTTTGCAACTAGCTTTTTACAGTATTCTCTAATCATGAAGATTTGCGTAATTTACCTATTAATTTAGGTGCTTGTGTACTTTATTAACGGATGCAATTATTTATAAACATTTATCCTCTTAACCTTAAAAACATTTTCAATCCAGCTTTGCACAGTAATCATATGACAATAAATGTTACCTACTATACCTATTCATATACGTGCATGTGTACTTCATGAACAGACGTTGGTCTCGATAATTCTTCAATCTAATAAATATTCGTGTATTTTTATTTATATGTTATTTTCAACCTAACTTATATTTTGCATTTCGATTTTCTTTTACTTATGACCAAATGGTTGTTTTTATTATTTCGCCTATAATTTAATATTATGAACAATTCTAATTAAAAACGAAAAATCATATGCAATTGAATAGTTGTATGAATTTAAATGTTCAAGTATATAGTAAAGGCCGTTCTTAACTTCCCCCAATGATAGTTGAGCAACATTTTTAACACCTATATGATGCATATGCATGCTACTTTCCCCCGTTTTTACAGGAACAAAAATTTATTTCAGTCGAAATTGCACCCTCGTTCCTGCAACTTACTTGCAGTCAGTCACTTATTTATCACCTGCTTTTTTTTTCTTTTTATCACCCATGAAAATTAAGTCTATTTATGAAATCCAACTGGTATTACAGTATCCTGCATAAGTATTTTGACGGCATCGGTGTGATGAGTCATCGCTAAAAATGTGGTGAACTGCTATCCACAACAGGTCGAATAAATGTACACTACTTATTAAATTGATTATTATGTATACATACACATAAACACAGGTCAAAGAGGGCGGGACGATTCACCTATCGTTTCCTTTCCCATAACCACCAATAGTATAAAGTCATTTCAATACAGATAACATAGTAAAACGAAAGAATCGTTGCGAAAAATACAATTGTATTATAATTGTTTTTATATTATTATGAAAACGATAGATGTGATGTCGAACGTCAAATTTGCATATGAAAATAGCATAGAAATTATTCGTATTATTATATTCTTCAAGTAAAATATAACACGCGAAAATATTGAGCTTTTGGTGTATATACATATAAAGTTGTATATAAATAACGGGATTTTGAACTATTGTTATTTTATTCGTTACCTGCTGTATTATTTTCGACAGTCATATAACTGTCGAAACAGATTATCGTACAGGGTATAGCTTATTATTTATAATGCATATATATATAGGTGGATATTTATCGAATAATTTAATCGAATAAGCCAATGTTCCTGCGATCATCAGATAGGAATAATAACTTCGTATTTTATAGTGAATAATAATAATAATATTTTGGTACGTATTTTACATTGCATAGTCGGATTGGATTTTATTTTGTAATGAAATATTTGTAAGCGAAATAAAACGCGCGCATAATAACCAACGCTGTCATCGAATCGTTCTGAGAGTTATAAATATAACACAAAACTCGAACGAAAAATACTATAATATAATATCCTAAACCGTTTATCTTCTTCTTCCCGGAGTTTCTATCCGTTTCGGATGTAGGAAATAAATAATCATATAATGAATATATTTTCTTTGTCCATCTTCTTCCGAAATCTCTTTTCCCTTCTATTTTTCCTTGTCGCACAACTTGCAGTCCTTGGTTCTATATTCATTGTGTAACCCAGATATTCTATATTTTCCGAGATTTTATAGTTATCAGTTATTATTTCTTCTGTCACATTATTTGAAGTGAACTTATGTTGGATACACGATCTGTCAATGGGATATTTAAAATATAACGATATTGAGTCATATTTCTATTTACCTGATTGATATTTCTGTTAACCTTCACGTTTCAGCTCCATATGATAAGATGAAAATAATGTAAAATATTAGCAGTCTAATTTTAGTATCAAGTAACTCATCACGACATTTGAATAATTTAGATATTTTATGGAATACACTACTGGCTTTCTCAACCCGGTATTTTATTTCATTTTAAAGCACCCAATCTTCACTAACCAATGCACCTAGATAATTGTACTTTTAAATTTGTACTGTTCGCACCGTATATAATACAATAAAATGTAACGAGACTCAGTGTAAATAATAATTATAAGAACGTATCATAACGAGAAAATAAATCACGCCTTGGTATAAATATTTGCTATATACACCGAGATTATAATATTGTCATCGTCAACTATAGCCCGAATACCTACACGAAGATTTTAAGTAAATTCAATTCACTTAACAACAAGCGAATTCGATTTATTTACAATATATTTTTAAAAGTGTACCGTGTATACTGTACACCCTTATACTACCGTATTATATTCAGTAGGTACAATGCGTTTATACCGTTTTTATACTTATTAGTATATAAACGGAATAAACATGCATAATACGTAATAATATACGTAACTGTTATTGATTTTCAAATCAAAACCAACATTTTTAGACTTTCATAACGTCACTTATATAACGTTGAAATTAAAGCCATATTGTAACGAATATTTCAGAAATAAAATCATTAAACAACATCAAATGCCGGTGGGGCGAGGGGAAAACGCTGAAAAGAATTAGTTTACTCGAAATCTGCGTATATAAAGGCTTGCTCGTGACAAAACAGTCACCCCGTGGATATACTTCAACGGTTTTCGTAAGAAATAACACGGTAAGTTAGATTTTAACATTTTTAATTCTACCAGGTGATCCATTTAACTGGGTACACTCAATATCTAGGAAGTTATTGACTCTTTTCGAAATTGGTTTTCTAAAACATTTAAGAATCAAGCGGATCTAGGATTTTATATTTAAGTTATTTTTTATGGCTCTAATTTTTGGGGGTAAACCACTATCTACTTTTGATTTTCAAATAGCAACTTATATTAAAAACTCAATAAATATATGAAGTATTAGTTAAAATAAATTTTAGAGTTGACATTTTTGATTTTCGTAATTTCCGATCCATATTGTGTGGCGGTCCATCACGCAGTGTGTTAATAATACACTACCTACTCTCCTTCAACCCAAACTTAAAAGTGGAATATCTCGTCAATGGCTTGACAGAAATTAAAAATGCCAACACTAAAATTTATTTTAATTAATACTCCGTCTATTTATGAATGTTTTAATATAGGTGGTAATTTAAAAACTAAAATTAGATAGAAGTTTTACCCCCAAAAATAAGAATGACAAAAAATAACACAAATATAAAATTGTAGAGCAACTTGTTTTTTAATTGATCTAGAAAACAAATTCCGGAAAAAAATAATACTTTCCAAGATAATGAGTGTACCCACTTAAATAGATCACCTAGTATAGAAAATGTTGCACTATATTATAATATCCAAACGTACATATACAAGATGATAAATCATACATTTTATTTATTCATACGTCTAAATCATTATTTTCCGTGTATATTAAATAATAAGATTACAAAACATAGACCTTAAACCTATACATAGTTTTTTTAAAAAATTACCAAAATTAAAATTATTAGAACATATTCTAAAGGCATATTCTGATATTTTTAATATTTATCTATACACACATACATATATATTTATGAATTTAAAGGGATTTAGGACATACAAAAATCTGCTCTAATTATTAATATTAAATTAATTATTAAAAAAATATAGTGGAAGAAAAACAATTTGTTTATAAGAAAATACATAAATATATTGTTTGTATCGTCTACTGAAAAATATGAATTTTCGAGTCATCGTAATGTTTTTGATGATATCCGTCCATTTCTACACTTCCGATATGACGTAAGTACACCTATATACACCGACGGAATCGTTGCTATATTTGTATAATATATTTCTGTTCCGTTTTTATAATAAAAAATATTCAACAGGCACAATATTATATTTTTTTTTTCATTCCGACGACGTGGGCACTACTCGCCGCCGCCGCCGCTCTTTTGACTTTTTGCCACATAATTCTAATCTTTTAAATCGTCCAGAAAATATACGTATACACAAACACACATGCACACACGCAAACGCGCGTGCGCGCGGACGAGCGAGAGCAACGTCTGTGCAGACACAGTCCAAATATAACTCCGGACCGTATCGTCTTTTCGACGACGTGCGGGATTGACCGTCGACGTAGTTCGAATCGCTGGAAAACGTTGGCACACAGTTTAATACTTTTTATTATTATTATTATATGCGTAATAATACACACGTACGGAATATCGTTGGTACAATATTATTTATTCATTTATTTTTTTAATTTATTTATTAAGATTAACCGGCTGAGCCCTTTTTATATACAGCATACATTTATATATAACATACTACGATCATAAAAATATTACGAGCACTACGCACGTGTCGAACTACAGAGACTGCCGAAAGCCCAAAACGAGTGGTTGTCAAAGGTACGGGACGCATTCTGCACGTCTGTTAAATTATAGTATAATTAGTAATTGTTAGGATTTTCCGTAATAATTGTAATTTTAGATTTTGAGTGTAGCGAAGAACGTGTTGGTTTTACAAAGTTGTTTATTTTTTTTTTTTTTTATACTGTGAACAAAAAATTCTATCAGGAATCTTGTTCTGAAGTAGCAGGAATTGCACCTTTTCTAAAAGGAGATTTTCCTGGGGGTAATTTAAGATGATAATTTTTTGATTTTTCTTAGTTTTCCCAATCAACGGAGAAAAATAGACAGATGGAAAATGTACGAAATTTTGGTATTACAGTCGTTTCCTATTAATAGAGACATTGGTTAATAAGGACAACCGCTTAATCCGGACAATACTTCAATTACGAAAACAATGTATATTTGTAGTGTAAACGCGTTCACCGCTTATTTGGGCTACGAATCCGGATAATTGGGACATTGTTTGGGACAAAAAGATAATGAAGAAAACCCCATAAGTGCTTTGGATGCTTGTTCAAACTACATTCGTCAACAATCGTAAGAAACAAACTAATATCGATAATTGTTTTAAATAAGATAAAAAAATATATATTATCTATTATGCGTGTATTCTTATAAATAATTAATGTATAATATCATATTTTTCTTTTTGTATTTATAAATAATTTCCATAATATGTATGTATACATTAATATAAAATGTACAATAATATAAATATAAAAAATCCGTTTTTCAACAAATTTCTATGTTCTTTTTTTATTTCGGATTATTGGGACAAAATAACACACAATCAATGTGTTCCAACAAAGCGGATTCGACTGTAGTAAAACAATATTACGGCCTTTTTTTCCCTGTGAACAACATTTCTACCAGCAATTTTGCTCCAATTTACAACGATAGCACTTTTTCTGAAAGTAAATCTGACTGGTGTAGTACTTTACGAAAGTAATTTTTTATTTTTGTTTTCATAATATATGGGGAAAAAACGGGAAAATTCACGAAGTGTATTATTTTAAAATTGTATACAGCTTTTCATAACCAAACTGTACTCAAAATCATTTTTCGATAGCAAAGATTAATCGTTGCGTACAGATATACATTAAATTTCTCTCTATATCCTATCTTCCTAACTTATATACTAACGGATATACGCTGTATATCCGCATCTTTTTACGCTTTATGTTTTCTGCCAGAAATATTATTCTGATTAAAAAATGGTAAGTGATGATAATTGTTGTTGAATTTTTAATCTTGTTAGTGAGTACGAAAGTTGCTTAAATTAAACAAGTTGTTTAATAATATTGTGAAAAACCGAAAAAAAAAAAAATGTAGAAAGAACAGGAAAATATTCGATTTTTAATTCTGTTTTGAATGTATTGAGTTTTTTTTTTCTTGTAATTCAGTTAAAAATATTTGTAGAGACTTAAAATTTGGACAGAAAGCCTATATTTGCCTTTTAGTTGAAAACTAATATAGTATTGAATGTGTGTATAATGCTATATTTAAAATATGATGGGTGTTTCTATCTACAGGATGAGAGGGCAGAACTTCTCTCTCAGAACTGTTATAGTCTTATGGAGGAAACGATAAAAAAAAAGTACGAACTTAAACCGTGAATAGTATATAATGAGATCTAAATCGTTAAGTACTTATACGTTTTGTTTATACCTACATAATTTGATAACCTATTTTAATAACCTTCGAATGTTTTAAACGCGTCTGTCGGGAATAAACACCAAGTTCCTGAAACTGGACATAGTAGTAACGATAAAAAAATGAAAAAATATGCCAAATGTATTCGTCTAATATCGTCCGGATACCAATCAATTAAATTACTATATAAGTGCATACGCACGTGTACGTATAGTAAAAGTGGGCGACGGGAAATTTGTTTGTACAATATTTACTCTCGTTTTTTATACGTTCTGCGGCAGTTTACAAGACAAAGACGTGTGACAAAAAGTAATTTTTTTAATATATTTTTACAATTTCACACACACACACTCACACGTACAAACATGGATGATAAACACAACAGGATGCATCGTTATCAAATCGATTATTTTTAAATCCGTTTAAATATATTCTCGTTGACTTTTTATGAAGAGTCTTTCGCGGTCGACTGTACACCTATGCCACTGTATATAGTAGGTACTTTCATCGTGAATTCGACTTTTACCGCCGGAACCAGCTGCACATTTTGGTTTCAACTCTCTCTTTCACCGACATATTGACGATAAATCGGAATTTATAATACGAGCAAATTTCAACATAAATTTAGGCGTTATGTGTATTGTATAATATTTTACTATATCTTTATATTTATTATAGAGGTACTAAATGTTCACCAAACATAAAAAAAAAAACTTTATCCGTTCTGATGCTTACTTATTTTGTTGATAAGCTAAATACAATAAACGTTATCGGTTTGCAAACTTTCAGGATTTTTTAATTTACTTGTATAAAAGGTACAGAAAATGTCTTCGCTATGTGTTCTGATATTTCGGTACCTCTACTATAAATACTTACGCAAAAAGTAATTTTACTTGGACGATTTTACTTCCCTTTATAAACGCCGTTTCTCTCTTGTATCAGTTGGGCACGGTTTTGTGACTTGAAAATGAGCCTTGGTTTAGTAAATATTATGATTGAAAAACCACAAAAATAATTTGATATACTGTATATAGATAAAAATAATTCACTTCATAAGAGAACATCAGCGCTATTCGGTTATTCTATAACACACCTACTTTAAAATAATCAAAACCTACGATAAATAACAAAATATACTGCGTCTATATATACTTAAAAACCGCATTAAAACTTTAACGTTCGCTTTCGATTTCTCCAAGTCAGTTTTTCACCCATTTTATGGTAAGTTTTCATGTATATGTCGCAGAGATGAAAGTCGAGAATCATTTCTAAAGACGTGGTATATACTTGCCGTCCAAATTCCGGTTCCGCTATCCTAACTTAGCCTAGTAAAAATTCGGCTGACCAAAAAAATTGGGTATATTTTTACCGTTTAAAAAGTTGTATACTTCGAATATACATAAAAAAACTTTATTGTAAACCTATTACATGACTTATAAGTTAAAACATTGTCCAGAATTTAAAATGTTTTATAACATTAATATTTATAAATATTATATATAATTCTATGTACTTGTTTTTTTTGTTGAGAAATTTCAACACATTCGGTAATGCACGGTCGGGATTATCGAAAATCTTCGGTCTACATTTTAATTTGTGCCATTTGAGATTTTGATCAAATATTGAAATAATTTCGAGAATACCTGCTCTCCGCTCATAGTCTATATAATAGTGACGTATAAATAACATTGTTTTTTTTTTTTTGTTCAATCTTATCTGCTGGAAATTTTCACGGTTCTCAATTTATTATCAACAAAAGGATCTGCAAATTTTCAAGGCCAACGTTTTCAAATTGACAAAAAATAATAAAAACAAATACAATACCCGTAGGTCGAGTGAACTACATTATTATTATTATATTTTTTTAATTCAACACCGTACGTCCATGTCTGTACATATAACACCGAAGACAATAATAATAATAATATTATTATAGCCGTATTATCATTCGAACAGTAGCGTTGCATTATAATGTGGTATTATAATTTACAATACTTACTTTTGGTCTGTTGCCTACGTATAACCGTATCACATACGTTGTTTTTTGTTTAAATTAAAAATTAAAAATCTGCATGACAATCGCTCGCGCGAACCGAAAATATGATATGTATAAATAAAAGACAAAACTAACGTCCTCGTGAGAGCGGAGCACAAACAAAATAAAAACATTTTCAGAAGTCGTATATATTATACAATACGAATAAATATTGTATTATTTACTTTGTGTGTTATCTATTTATATTATATAGTTATTGTTATATATTTTTTTTTTCAACCATGTATTTAAAGAATTCTTTATGAAATCATCTATACACTTTTAATTACTTGTATTATTTTTATTAATTACGTCTAAATGACCTCCGGCTGTATGAGTTATCCTTAGGGGATTCTGCACGTGGTTTTATGTTTTTAAACATAATTTTAGACATCTTATACCCTCGTTGTGTCCGTCCGTCCGTAGTTACCAGTACATAGTTACGGTTGTTGATTTAGTTGACAAGGAGTTATGTTATTATATATGTTATTCGTAGCTTTATTATTATTATTTCTCCCTGAAGAGAAACAGAATACTCCCACTGTACCTCTACCTGTTGTGAGAGACAACAAAAGGGGTTGCGTCAGGTCAAAAACCGGTGGATAACTTTGTCAAACAGTAATTAGGAGTTTTAAATAAGACGTTGGAGGATTGTCCTATTTTGAATGTGGGTGGCAACGACAAGTTAGCGAAGGTACCATTGGTCATAATGTTTGCAGATGGTTTAGCTTAGAAAGGAGAATCCGGAATAAGTTAACAATGGGCTAGCCGAATGGAGAGTAGCACATGAAATAAAAGGACTTAAGATAAGTAATAGTAAAACAGAGTATATGAAGCATAGAATAATAGGACAAAATAGCTAACGATAATTAGTGGTAACATAATACGTGAGGTTAAGAGTTTAGTACCTAGAATCTTTTTTACAAAAGAACGGTAGCTTTTGAGTGGACGTGGAACATAGGATTTAGTGTTATTGTATAAAGTGAAGAAAAACGTTAGATATTCTATGTGACAATAGAATTCCAATGAGACTTAAAGGTAAGGTAAGTTCTACAAAAGTGTGTTGAGACTGACTATGTTGTATAGTTTGAAACGTTGGGTGGTAGACAGAAAAATAGATCTGAAAATGAATGAATAGAAATGAGAATACCTAGGTAGATGAGTGGAGTGACGAAGGAAGATAGGATAAGGAATGAGTACATAAGAGGTAGCTTAGGCCTCAATTTTATATTAGGCAAATAAGGGAGAAAAAACTGAGATGGTTTGAGCATATCAAGAGGAAAAGAATCCGAAGCAGTAAGAATTATATTGAAAATAAATAGAAGGAAAGAAGAGAATAGGAAGACTAAGGGAGTGGTTAAATGCGATTTAGAATGGTATAAAGACAGCCGATGTATACAAGATACGAGATCGGGTGAAGTGGAAGTTTATGACAATAGTGGTTAGCCATAAATAGTTTACATAAATAGTTACTACTAGGCGAAGGTGTGGAAAAAAATTATTATTATTATTCATTTAAATATAAATTCATAATATTAATTTTCTTATTTATTTAAATATAAGTATCAGAAAGATACATTCATACTAGTCAATATTGAAATTACAAAGTAATAATATAAGTAATACTTAAATAATTTAAATTAGAAACTCTAGAATTTAAAACGTTAATATATGTATAAAAATTTTTAATTTATGTATTTATACATTAGTATAATATACTAGGTTACCAAATTCTCTCAAAATATTTTATATGGAACTATAATTTATTGTTCAAAATAGGTTTAGAAACCGGAAAAATAACTCACTTGTAAAGTAGACTTTTCTAATTTGTTTTTTTTTTTTATATAATTATATAAACTGTTAATAATTC